TTTACTGAGCACATCTCAAATGGCTCAGAATGCAGTTTGAAAAACTGACCAGTTTAAAAGAAAGGACAAAAGGTAAATATTTTCTAGGGTTTTTTTTGGCTGTAATCTAAAAGTCATTGCAGTCAACAGAAGTCTGCCATTGTCAATATATGATACAAAAATGTCAGAAATAGCTGAAAGGCAAGGGATCCATAGATCTTGAAAAATACTGTTTAGTAAAACTTGATTTATTCTATTTCAGCATCTTACAGGGTAATCTTTTATTACATGTTCAAACCCATGGATTAATAGACAGTATATAGTAAATATAAATAATAGACTATATATGGTAAATACCTATGGTAGGGGCTGAGACATTAAGGGAAGGATCTTGCACAAAAAATATGTGTAATAAGTTACATGGTGCTTCTGTATTCCTGTGTATCTCTTTATTTTTAGGGTTCTTCCTGTTCAAGTGAAGTGCAAGAGAGTTTTCCTGTAGAGGTCACTAGTAGCTTTTTGATTACTTTCTCCCTGAATATTAATAATGACTCTGCCATCAAGCAGAGCTGTCCTCTGGCTCACTTGGAGTCTAGCAGTGGGATAATGTAGATTTACTTTCTTTTGATGAAAGCCATGATAAAGATGCTGTAATTTACCTTACATGACTGAGTAGTTCTTCTTCCCTGAGGGGTTTCTGATCCTCACACATCCATTTTTAAATTCTTCTTTCCCCCTCTTTCCTGTCCAGGTCATCATCTCCGAACAACACTAATCCATTTGGGTCAACGTTTTGCTTTGGACTGCAACGAATGATCTTTGAGGTTAGGAAAAACCTTTATTTTTGTCTGAGCAGGGGAGAGTGAAGAGTTTGCTGTTATTATGGGTGGCCTCTTACTCCCCGTTGCGATAAAAGCCAGTGCTTGGGAGTGGCCATATTTTAGTGCCCACTGGCAGAAAGAGGTGACTTTCCAAACTCTTCTCTGAGGTTGTACATTTACATGTTAAAGCTGGAACTTTGTCACCTGGAACTCGTGCCAGCAGGAGGTACATGGCCGTGGCTCTGAGCAGTGGTGGAGCATGCTGGTGTTTAGCTGTGTCACAGAAATCCAGACAGTTTTTGGGAACCAGCCAAGCGCTTGCTTTCTGGCGTTGGGATTTCTTTTTTCAGGCGGATCAGTTCCATATTCACCACTTTCACCCTTCTGGGTTTCTGTTCCCTGTACCAGTGCTTTTAACTCGCCCTTGTCCTGCTGTGCCTTTGCAGGTGATGCAGAACAATCACATAGCCTCTGTCACCCTGTACGGCCCCACGCGGCCCAGCAGCCAGCTGAGGACGTCGGACCTTCCCCAGTGAGCCTCCCCTGCAGAGTCAGCTAATCTCAATGCTACACAATTAGTACAGCGTGCCTTGATTTGCTGCCACTTATAATATGGAAAGCACGTTATGATTTATTTTTTTTTTTTCAATAAGCCTTTCCACCCAGGAGCGGTGTGGAGAGGGGATTCTCTCAACCCTTCATCATGGGGCATGGAACTGTTGATGGAGGAAAGCAGCTTAGGTGCCTGTGCCGTCGTTTATTCCTCTCCGTTGCCCTCATCCTATGCAGCACAGACCTGAAGAGACTGTCCCCCCTTCTCAGCTGGCAGAAGGGGGAAATGGAAGAGGGGCACATAATGACTGCAAGAGTTAGAAGCACAAACTTTCTGAGCCTTGGAGCATCTGGAAGCAGGTATTGATTTTAGTCTGTTTGTGTTACTGTATTGATGTGGTGGTCACATTTTAAGAAAAACGTGTGTGTATATATATATAGATATAAACACATCGGTATTTCTGTGGCTTAGGACATTGTACCAAGTGTGACAAGGATGTATATATGTCCATGATTTCAGGCACCACATCTTTGTGTAACTTTAAACCAAGCAAGTAGCATGTGCATAATACTTGGTTGTAACATTTGCACTACATACACTTTAATTACTTGATAAATGTTTATCTTCACTGAGGAGCATCTGTGTACTGGGTGTGAGTGGGGTGTGATGGTTATTTAATGTACACTGCGCATAAAGCTTATTTATACAGTGGATCAGATTTATCCACCTTCCTGCACTAATATGTACTTGATATGCTGATACAATTTTTTTCTTTCATGGCTGGTTTACTAATTTTTTTCATACGCAGTTTCAAAAAAAAGAAATAATTCTGGAAGAAGTTGTTTCTATGATTGAATTATGTTTTAGTGAAAAGATTTGATACAATTTTTCATACTAGTGAAAAATTTCACAAAGAAATAATGTTGCCTCATTTGCCTCTGTTGCAAAATCCTTTATTCCTACTCTGTTTCCTTAAAGAGGAGCTGTATATAATGGTATCTCAGACAGAAATCCCCGAGTTCTGCCATCACCAGGAAAACCTTTTCTGTAACTTCTGATGTGTGATTTTAATTTATGCCAAAGGTTTAGCCAAAGACATCCTTGTTGTAGTTCCACCATTTCTGTACATATATGCTAACTGCACACCCCACCCCAGCAGACAGGATAGAGGCTTCTTTCTAGTTGGGAGATGCTGCTCGCGACATTTTATCCCAGGAGGATACTTTAGGTTTCTAGTTCTCTTACCAGTCTTATTTGGGAGAAATAGATGGTCTGTCTTTGAAACAATGAACCCTTTTTAAAAATGGACAAGAGAAATGTATAATTTTATCCCATTTTTAATATTTTGGTGTCGCAACTTGTGATACATAGATGACAATTTTGTGAGTTTTACTATGTGTGTACAGATTTTTGTAAATATGACATTTTTGTAATTTTAACTCCATGTACAGTGTAATCCTGTATAGTTTATCAATGAATGAGAGATAGGAAATCGAATGTTAACTGAAGTTTTGGATCCTGGACCAGTAGCAGGGATAAATGTGTGTGTGTGTGAGATGTTCTTTGCCATTTAGTCTTCCTGTATACTGTGATACTCTAAACTGTTTTGCTAAAACAAACAAAAAAGCCCCATGGAAAATCTAATGGATAAGGAAAAAGTTACTGTTTACCTTTATCCCTAGGTGTCACTCCTGTTGAATCCCTGTTCAATCTGTGCTGTCTCCCGTGATCGTTGCTTGCTAAGAAAATTCTATGCCTCAACCTTCCTTTTTGTTTCCTCTCTAATTTTAATTTCATTTTACATAGCCCTTCTGTAAATTAAATGGAATAATAATGAGCATGTACACTGAAAGAAAAAATAAAAAGAGACTCTCAGTTACTGTTTTTGTGTTAAATACAGTTGCTGGGTGTTTTTGTAATAAAATCATGGATGTTCTTGCTTTTTTTTTCTTATCAAATAGTTCTTTTTATTTTACTGTCTTTCAGAGATCATATTTGAAGTACCTGACTAGTGTTGTTCCTCTATAGCCAATTCAGTGTGTTCTCCAAAGAAACAGTAACTAACAACTTGCAGTCTGTTTCCTGGCAGATCCATTAAAGTGTTTTATAAGTGTTGGCCCCGAGGTGTGGAAGGTCGGTGTGACTTTGGGGGATGGCCCGGTGGGTTCTCACTGTGCTCACAAGGGCAGTTGTTCTGCTCCTGTCTGCTGTTGGGATCATGGGGATGGATGGAGTTTCCAGGAGTGTGAATGTTGCCCATTGGGAGGGAGGGAGGGAGGGAGGGAATGCCTGCAGTGACAGCAGCAAATGGGAATTCTCATCCTGTGTTCCCGTGCCCCGAGGTGCTCCAGGAGAGCCCGGGGAGTCTGCAGAGCCTGCAGTGGCTCCCAGTCGACACAAGGCATAAGGAATGGGACTCCTGTGGGACTCCTGTTTCCATTCCTCCACACTGGCTGTGTAATGCAGGGTACAGCACTTGGCCCTCCTCGCACATCCCTGGGTGCTGGAATGTAAAATGACCTTGCTTAGTGCTCGGCTCAGTGTGCTCCTGCAGGATTTTGTGATCTCTGAATTGAGATGGCGTGCGTGCTTATTCTTGTTGCTAAAATATGACAGCAATCCTGATGCTGACTTCAATTAATTTTAATTAATCCTTTTCTAATGAAGGCTCCACAAAAGCTGCAAGAGGAGATAAATCCTTGATGGGAATATTTGACTAATGGCTATGCAGATGCTGCCAAGATCCTTCTCTCAAGCATATTCAGTTGAAATTCTTCAGAAGAGTGAGGTCAGGCCTGCTGCTGTAACATGCACCCCGAGCCTTAGGGCAGGAGCAGCACCAAAGGTGTGTAACAATTCCTGGGACTCCCATCTTCACTTGTAATGCTCTGGTGTGTCCAAGTGACTAGAACAGTGCAGGTAATAATTAGTGCTCTCCTGACAACCCGGATTCTTCTCTAGGTCAGTCCCTTCATACTGAAAATTTCTCTGCACAGACAAAAAGGCAGCTTTGCCTGCTGGCTGCTGCTGGGCTGAGCACAAAGCCTTTGACTCCGGGGAGAGGCAGATCTGAAGGAGCACCCAGGGAGGTTGGAGCAGCTCCTCTGGGTCTCCTCACCCTTCCCTTGTGAATGCAGCTGTTCCCAGGTCACTCCTCTGAGATGTTTGCTCCTATTTGGCCTGAACAAAGCCAAGCTCTTCCTGTGCTAAAGCATTAGGGAAGCTGCTGAGGAGCAGCTAAGGACTTGCTGGCATGAAAAGTTTAGGAATGGGTGGAGGGGACTGATGGTGGTTTTGAAGCACCAGAAAGAAGAGAGCAAGGAGTAGGGAACAGAGGAACTCTGGGGAGAAGGTGAGGAAGGGAGTGTGACAAGGAGGAGGGGCTGGCACAAGGCAGTTTGTGTGAACCAGAAGGTGTTCTGTGCACAGGGCTGCTCAGGGTGCAGTGTGTGCCACCTCCAGCTCTGCCAGGGGATCATCACCTTCCCCTCCCAAGGAAATGAGGTTTGGGCTGCATCAGATCCCATCTCAGCAGGTGCCCTTGTTCCTTCTCAGAATTATGTGTGGTTTGATACAGATCCTGCATGTTGGCAACATGTGCATTGGTCCATCGTTTTGGTTTCATATGATAAAACTTTGATATAAAGTTAAGTACAATTGCATTTTTAATAAAACACACGGTGCATATTTTGATGTGCCTTTTTCCTTTGTAAAGAAATGAAGAGTTTATGTGTGTATGTCTGCTTAACTTGAATATTGCAGTATTTTCCACAGAATTTCATTTGTTTACACCTAATAAAACTGCCCTTCTTTTTGGAGGTGAAGCTGACATTTCTTCCTGTGTTCTTCAGGCCTGCAAGCAGTCCCTGGGCTCCTGTGAAGACTACAGGCAGTGCTACATAGATCAGTGCTGCTGTGTAATATTAGAACCCTCTGTTCCCCAAAATGCAGTTCCTGTAGAGAAAACCCAATCTGCTGTTGCTGGGAGCTGTCACACTTGTAATTCCAAACAGATTTTTTTGCTGAAATAGTAATCAGGTGGTGTGTGAGAACTGATTCATGTGCTCATGATGGTTCATATTCCAGAGCTCCCATCAAACCTGTTTAAAACAAAATCTTCCCTGGGGCTCAGCATTACGAGAAGATGGTGACTCATCGTTCCTGGGGGCTGGCTGGAGGTGAGGGGCCAGCTGGTGTTTTCCAAAGGGACATCCTGGGTGTTGCTGCCCACTTCACATGGGTTTCTGCCTGTTGTTAGAGCCTGTTAGTCACTTAACTGCCAAGTTGGACTTCTGTGAGGTTTTGTGTTTGATGGCTCAAAGTGTATATTGAGAGTGAACCTGCAGGTGTGAGTCAGTGTGGCTCTTCCTGGAAAGAAGTGCTGTGTCCAAGCCCTCAGTGCTTTCTTGCTTCAGATATTTGGGCAAGGACCAAGTTGTCTGATTTGGCACAATTTCACGTGGGCTGGTTGTGTTTCATAAGGCTTTGAGTTTGGAATAATTCTTGGTGTCATGCTGTAAGAAACATTATTCCATGCTAGTTACAGGTGGTCCTTTTCAACTTTTGCCCAATGAACACCTTTTTTTTTTTCTTTTTCTTTTTTTTGTTTTTACTGTGAGTACACCAATGCAAAGCCTCCTCTGTGACTCTGTCACACATAACCTGACACAGCACATGGAGCCAAGTAAATGCCTCACTTTGTGTGCCTGGGGAGTTAAAGTACAAGTTAGTTCTGGTTAGTTCTTTTCATGTAAAGGTTCTTTTAGTGGCCCAGGATGTTTCAGAGAGAAGGTCAAAGCAAAACAGGGAGAAGTGAGTAGGAGTTAGTGAATCAGGGGGCTTTGTCACGGGCCATGGTGGAACCAGTTCAGAGTGAAAACTGCACCATGAAGGGATTTGGTTTTGCTGGGCTGTGTTACTTGGGGGGCTCGGGGGCAACTTAAATATATTCTTTACCTGTGTGAACTTTTGCTGTAAATAGTAAAGTCACTGTTTAAATGTTCTGTCTGCCAAACCTTACATCCAAAGCTTTTGTGGTGTTTGCAGGAATGTCTGTTTTTCCAGCAGGCAAAATCATTCCTTCTCCTAATCTGGGAAAACCAAGTGCTTGAAACAGCAGGAAAGGTAAGCTGGAGTTTGCAGAGCAGGTCACTCACTGTGGTGTAAGACAGCATTGTAACAGTAACTTTTGTTCTGGACTGGTTGTAATGATTTAATGTAATCTTTTCTCTTTGATACACTAATGAATTCCCCTTTAAATGTTACTCCTTCAGTTATTTTAAAGTACTGCATATTGCAATTCTGGAAGCTGGTGTTAAATGCCTTAATGTTTCACACCTACACTAGATATTCCACTGAGTGCATAAGTTTCATGCCAGTATTATTATCCTTCAGAGAGACATTTAGTGTAAATACCAATCACAAAAACCCCTGCATGATTATGCAATGTGCAGTCTAATCAACTAAATAATCAAAACACTCTGATTCACTGTATTCCCTTTTCACCTCTGCTCGTCTCTCCTAGAACTGCAGCCCTGAAATCCCGAGTTCACCCCATCCCTCACTGGTAGCTCTGTTGCACCCACAAGTATAGAGGCTGTGGAGGTCATTTCACCCCTTTCTTCTGCTCCCATGGCTACAGACACCATTTGTTTTAATATCATGCCTTGATTCCCACTCAGCTCAGTCAGCCCCTGGGACAAGGCTGTCACTGCAGACCTGTGTTATTTTGTACTTTTTCCCTGTTTTTAGCACAGGGCTTCTCAACAGATGGGCTGGGAAAGTGAGGGAGAGAGAGAGAGAGAGAGAAGATCCGTGAGCTGGATTTGGATGGATTGGAGGGAGCATTGGGCTGGTCAGGAATGGTGGGGGAGCTGTTTCCCACTCTTGGAGAGACTCAGATGTGCTTCTTTGGGGTTTACTTTCCCCTCTCATGTCTCACTATGGTTTTTTTACTGACCATAAGCCTAGAAAGTAATGACAAGTTGTATTTAAAAGTTCTACTGGTTTTTAACACTGTCCATGGAGTCAGTGGCATCGTTAAGAAACGTGGACATTTTCTGGGCTGCTGAGACCTGCAGCTCCAACTGGAAGAGGTACAGCCCAGGAGACTGGCAGTTCTTCAGGCTGGGCTCTGGGCTGGACTCTTTCTCTCTGATCTGATGGTCTTCCAGCACTCTCCAGGGAATGTTCTCCGTGCTAACATTCAGTGAGGGTTCTCGGAGCTGTTCGATTATTTTGTACTGTTTGAATTTGCAGTTGGGCTTTGCTTCCGAGAACCTGCTGCAGAGAGATGAATAATTAAACTGCAGACAGGAAAAACAAGATTTTACCACTCCATTGCTCAAGCCATCTTTGGCTTTCTGTTTGATGATGCTGAGCCTGCAGTGGCTTGACCGACTGACGGATGTTGGCACTCACTGCCAGTTCCCGTGTCCAGAGACGCACTCGGAGGTGTTGAATGTGAGGTTCAAGCCAGCTCTGCTCGTCAGAGTGACCAAATCTGCCTACTTATGTACAGTAGGAATAAAACATGACTCTGTGGATCCCTGGGATTCAATAAAACCTACTGTACTTTATTTAAATTTCAGAAGTCTATGCCTGTCCTGAGAAAGTCTGCTTTGCTTTTTCTTGCTACTGGTGGAACCCACTTGGGACGTTTTTATGTTTTCTCATCATGGGTTAGTCATGAAAAAAAATTGCCAAGCAAGGCTTTTTAGCAGACATGACTGGTGTGTTGAATTAGCCAGTTAATTAAAGCTACTCAGAATGTCACTGAAATGGATGGTTTTGTTTTTCTGAGGTGCATCAGAGAAGTCAGTAGAGGGTCCTTCCTGCCAGCTCTCATGCACACAGGATTTTCTGAAAAGACCCTCATCTTCTAGGAAACAATCTCCAGCTTGTGTGAAGTCCAAGATTTTTGCCTGCTGCAGCAGTAAGTAGAATGTCATGAACTGCAGGGGCTGAGCCCTGTTCTCCAGCATCCCCAGAGCTCACACACAGGGCTGGGAACTTCCTGCTCAACTGCAGAAGCAAATGGGAACTTAAAGCCAGGTCAAACAGGCCATGCAGCAGAGGCTGGAGAACAAAAGCAGATGTATCTTTCCTTAACAGAGACTCGATTTAGTAATCACTGGATAAAAGAAATGAGCTGTTCCCCAGCCTGAGACAGTGGAGTAAACAGTTTGCTCTGCTCTGGGCTCTGCCAGCTCTCAGGGTATGTGCTGGCACAGACTGTGTCAACACAGATGTTGGGCAGCAACTTTGATCTGGGACAAAATGCACTCATTATTGCTGTGTTGTGGTAGATTGCAGATCTGAAGACAGTATAGAGGGAGGAGCCAATCTGTGCATCTCCAGGCTTAAAAGAAAGACCTTACTAAGGACTGCTGAACCTGAACAGCTGCCCCATGGAAATGGGAAGGTAAGCCATGTTTATTTTTCTGTCATTGCCATTAAATCAAGTCCAGCACAAGGAAAGACCAAGTTATCCAAAATAATGAATAATGTATTTTTCATGTCAATGTCTTCCTGAAGAATCCCTGTGGTATCAGTCTTACAACGTGTGTGCAGGTGTTCTTGACAGACTCACTCCAACATCCAGAGGCATGTCTGCATGCTGTCTTTTAATTATGGTATAAATAACCTCCAAAACTGTAAACTAATCACAGGTAATACATTCTTGTACAAGCTCACAAATACACAAGTATCACACATGGTAGCAGACAGGGGCAAGGGTGACTTTCTCCCACCAGCAAGGCTCTGGCTTAGTTCCACTCCCTGCAGAGCTCCTTGTGCAGCTCACATGAGCATTTTGTGTTTCAGGATCACATCTTGAAAAGATCCCAAATGTAGGAATCTTTTGATTCCTATACAGCTGACCTCTCCTTGGAAATACATTACTGTAAGGCTTAAATTCATGGTGAAGATGAAGAAAATGTGAGACTGTTGCTAATAATGTCCCAGTGGGTACCAGCAGTGTCCCAGTGCTCCGTGGTGTGCACAGCTGGGACAAGCACTGAGCCTGAACTGCTGCCCGGGGGGAGGAAGGTTCTACACAGGGATGGAATGCAGCTGCTGCAGGCTCTGTTCAAGGGACAGCAGCTTCCTGGATGTTTATGACTGACAGTAATTTCCTCTGAAGCTGTGTTCATGTGGCACTGGGGCTTCTCTGATGGATAGGAGTTGTTTTTTTTTTTAAAGGGAAAAAACTGCAAAAGAACTAACAAGCACAGTATCAAAGGTTAATTCAGGCTCTTTGCCCCATGAATTTAGTAGCTTTTTAACCCTGATTTAGAGGAATTTACTTCTGCTCTGATGTCTAAAGAAAGGATATTCTTTTAAGGTAGTCTACTGTTGGAAAAAACAAAATGCAAAGTATTCACTGTTCTTTGAAAAAGCACGTAATCCAGTGTTCTTGCCTGATGCTTAAAATAGTTAAGAAGTTACTGACTGGACCTTGGAAATCCCAGCAGAAAGATTGCTGTGTGGGTTTGATTTCTTGCAATAAATTTAGACGGGCTTTTATTCTGAAGCCCTTTGGTCTGAAAAGTACTTTTTCCCTTCACGACACCCACAGCAGCATGAAAAGTCTTGGCTGCTCTTTGCAGCTGCCTGTGTGCCAAGCAAGAGGTCTAGAGAAAGCAGCCCAGTCCATTGACAAGTTGTTCTTTGGTCTGAAGCAGCTCCCAGATGTGACGCAAGCAGCAGCTCTGTGTGGTTTTACCCTTAAAAGCAAAGGCCAGAGGATCTCTGGAGTCAAACCTTCTGAAGATGTGGATCAGCTGGTGAGAGCAATCAAAAACTGCTGGATGACTTTTGTGTTTTCACTGAATGTCAGTCAGCACAGTGCAGAGAGCCTGAGCTCAGGGAAGTGTCAAAAACTGGCCCTCTGAGTCCTGAGTGTGTCAGTGGAGCAGGTATTTGAACAGAGGAGTGCTGGGAGTAACAGAAGATCAAGGCTTAGAGGGATCAGCTCAAAGTTCTTGTCCTTCTTTAGAGGCCCTTTGGAAGTCTGTTCCTTCCCAGTTATCTATGTACCTGTCCTGTGCTCAGCCAGCCTCAGCATCCAGTTTGATTCCTTGTAATGCAGCCAGTCTGCACCATACAGGCCCCCATTTCAGCAGCTCTCAGTTGTTCTCCCAAGGCCTCCAGAAAACCAGCCAGGCAGCAGTGATTCCAGCTGAGCCCACGCTGAGGTGACCTGATTTCCTTTACCCTCGTTACTGTTTGGTCATTTGTCAATGAGTCCAAGTCAAGTAGCAAGCTGACAATGATCCCTGTGCTCCCTGGTGTCTGTGCTCTTACCTTGTATCTTCTTTCATTTCTCACATTTCTAACAATGCTGAAAAACCTCCAAGGACTGCATTTTTCAATGTCCTTTTACCCAGTGTCCTGCTAAGCACTAGTATAATCCTAATAAATAATAATAAATTACATATATTGCTATGATTATTTGGACTCATTAATAGAGGAGGACCTACATGACATGTGTGTGCAAATGTGGAATTTGGGCAAATTCCTGCAGTTGTTTGCTGTGTTCTCTTAACAGTAAGGTGTGCTAAAATACTTGTGCAGTTGGTTTGTTGGGCTGTACCAGCTCCAGGTTCCCTTTCTTGCTGCATGTTTGCTGCTTGTTTGTGCTGCAGTCTGCCTGCATCATCTCAGGGGTGATGTTTGTGCTGTAGTTTGAGCTTTCTTTTTCCACTGGAAAGGCTTTTTCACTTGCTTCTTCTGAGTGCAGGAGAGACGTGGGCTGTGGAGCAGGTTCCACATCAGCCAGATCTCAGCGACTTTCAGACTGTGAACCACCATGAGATCCTTGTAAAAACAGGGATCGAAGGTCTGTAGGTGTGGGGCAGCAGAAGGCTTGACGATGCCAAAGGTCTTGAATCCTTCATGCAAAATGGGCTTGAGGTTGATTCTCTGTAAGCACATGCCCAAGAAGACGTCGTCGATGGGGAAGAGTTCCACCTCCCTGCAGGCCCTCGAGAGCCTCCTCATGGTGCGGCTGGAGAGCAGGAACCCTCCTCCCCCCGCGTAGGCCGGGTAGATGCTGAGCCCGTACATGGTCTCTGGGATGTAATATTTGCTCTTCCGGACACGGATGGGACGGGCATTGTAGATGATGTCCCCAACAAAGAGGTCCTCAGTGGGGTCGTGTCTCTTGAGGAAATCAACAATGTTCTCAATGTTGACAAAAACGTCGGCGTCACCTTTAAAAATGAATTTGGCGTCGTGGCAGAACTCGGCAGCCCAGCTCAGGAAGTGGATCTCCTTCAGGGTCAGGTTGAAGAAAGTGTCCATGAAGTCCCAGAGCAGAATGTCCCGGTATGTCTGACTCTCCTGGTGGATCAGGGTCTCCCACGTGGCCAGCACTGTCCTGTTCTTTGGTGTTCCCAGGAGGAACACTCGCTGGATCTGCTCCCCGTTCACCAGACCCTCCCTGCCCCAAGTTTTCCGGACGATCTCGCGCCTGTCAAAGTCTTCAACCACCGATTTGATGGCAATGAGCAGAAAGGGCCCCCCAGGTGTTTTCCGGCATTTCCTGGGCTGGTTGATGAGGAGGTTGAAGCTCCTCTTGTCCTTGTTGAGGAGATAGTGCTGGAAGTTGAAGGCAGAATCAGTCGGCGGGGGGGGAGTTGTAGCTTGGACCCTGTTCTTGGCCACTTCTGCTCGTCTAATGACAGGGGTAACTTGGGGTCTGGGTGCTGTTGCCTCTGCTGGCATCAGTCTCTGAGGTGCTCGGGGATCTGAGGATATTTTTGGGGTTGCTGGAGGCTTCTTCTGTGTTGGCTCCTTGTTTCCTGCCGGGACTAAATGTTCCAGCTGGGAGTAGAGTAAAGAGCAAAGTGCTACCAGCAGGAGGAGGGTACAGATCACATCCCCTTTGAGGCGAACTCTCATTGTCTCTGTGGTGTTCCTGGACTGCTAAAAGCCTTGTTTGAGCTGCCTGGCACCAATGTCCATCTGTAAATAAACAGAGGGTGTCAGCAGCAGGGATTTGGCAGGTCTGGGGCATGCGGGAAAGACTAACTGAAAGATCATTTAAAAAAACCAGCAGCCAAGTGTGTTTTACTCAGACAAGCACTGAGACACCTTGAGGAACTTGCCCAAAGGCACATGGGGTTGCAAACCTGACCCTGAGCCTGGCACTCCAGCTCTGTGACCTGGTTAGTTCAGTCATCATTCATCCTGAAAACCACTCTCTAAGCACCACCCAAAATCAGCCCTTCCTCCTGCATCCCTTGCTGCTGAACATGTTTTGCTGTTCCAGAGATTTCACTGCTTTGGGAAAAGCAGGATGGAAAAGGATGAACGGTGCCATTCTTCCATAAGTCATTACTTTTTTCTTTTTCCCTGAGCTTTGTAACTGTTACTTGCTGCTTTTACCCTTTTTGACTCAAGACAGGGAGGCCCAGAGCTGAGGGGCAGACTCTCCAGTGGCAGTGTGTTGCTGGTGTTTCCCTGCATACAGAGCCAGCTCTTGTTGAACCTACAGTGATTTATATTCAAAATGAATACATCAGGCATGCTCTGGAATGCACACAGGGCGCTTTTCCTGCCAGTAATCTTTATAAAATATTAAACCATTATAAATAACTTCCATTAATAAGGTTAGAAGGAGCCACAGGTGTTCTTCCTCTGCCACATCACCCTAAGCAAGAGGTGGGGAAATAAATCCCAATATGCAGAAGCAAGACAGAGCCTGGGGTTAGGAACGTTTTGTTCACGTACGATAGATGAGGCTGCCCTATGAAACACAAGATATTCCTCACTTACCCTTTTCCTGGGGATCTTCTGTCTTACTCCATCAGTTCTTCAACTGCAAACAGAAAATAACAAGGGAAGAGCAGTAAGAAGGCAGCAAGGAGCAGGTAACCAGCTCAGGGAGGCAGCTGGCCAGGCGTGGGCAGCAGCACAGGCAGGTTCTGTCCCCACTGCAGGAGCAGCCAAAGCTGAGCTGTGCAGAGGGCAGAGACAGTCACAGTCCCTGCAGTCCTCAGCAAGGAGCAGTTCCTGAGTTTAGCTCCACCCAAAGGTTTTCCCCCAAGTGCATGTAAGTGTTTTATACCCCCCCTGACAGTGTGTGACACTCACAGGTGGCACCTGCGGGATCTGGGCAACATTTCAAGACTTACGAGGAACCAAAATGATGACACTGGTTGGTTTCTTGGCCAGCCCCTTTAACACTGTTAGATGGACATTACTCAGACCTCATCATTTTAATATTGTGCTTTTTCATTACTGGTTAACTGCTTCTCTGAGTTACTGTTGAAATAGAGAGTATTTCATCCTCATATGCTATCACCTGTCTTTTTCTCAAGTGCAGCACCAAAATGTTTATTGACCTCATCTGCTTTGTCTCCTTTGTTTCTGAAACCTTTATTTTGGCAAACAGCAGGTCTGTGCCTTGGTGTGAGGCTCTGGTGCATTTAAAGTCACTTCTTCCTCGTCCTGATGACAATGGTTTTTTCTTCAGGCCTTGTTTCTTGCCTTTTTCTGGCCTCTTAGAGACCACTGGGGTTTTCTTCATTTGTTGGCTCTTTTCACTGTACCTTTCACTCCTCTCCCAGCCTGGGCAGATGTTTTAACTGGCACAGCTTTGATTCTAATAGCAGGATTGTAGAATTTCCTCAGACCTCTTGTAAATTGTTGTTAAAATATTTAGACTATTCAGGATCTGTTTTCTGTTTATGTTCTTTCTGGCACATGACTTGGCTGATAACTATTTTCAGCCTCATGAAGCAGTCCCTATGACACGTAGAGGATGTGTTTGCATTTCACATCTGTCACATGCAAACCCCCCCTGGCAGGTCCTGGTTGCTCCAACATGTCCCAGTCCTGGACTAAATCTTCCTGGTTAAGATGTGGTTCCCAGCAGGCTTTCCCTCATGTCACCTTCAATAATTTTCCAGAAGTTCTGGGGACATGAAGGGATGGTCCCACTGCACGCAGGGTGTGCCACTAAGCTGGATCTGCTGAGGAGAAGGAGTCTGTCCTCCTTTGGCCTAATCACAAGCAAGAGTTTTTGCTGGGTGCTACTGAGATACCTATAATAGGGACCCTGTCTCAAAAAGTTCATAAGAACTAAAAGTGAGGTATCTTTGGTCCTTGTGTTGTGCTGGAAGGAGCTGCACTGAGGTGCTGTGCAGTTCTGTGTGTGTGGTTTCTGAAGCCAGTGGGAGATGCACGTCCCCAGTGGGATAAATCCTGACTGCACTGGGCTGTTCGTGTCTCCACTTGAGCTCTTTGTGCAGTCCCATCTCTTCTCTCACAGGAATAGCAAATTTATTTTTTCTTTTCTATAGAAAAGTCTGATCTTATTTCAGCTGCCAGACTCCAGATGGTAATTAAGGAGCTGGATGAAAGTCCTGGCTCTTTCCTGTGTTTAATTTTATTGTCAAGGGTTTGGGATAAATTGTGTGTGTCATGAAACTCGTAATTTCCATGGCTTACAGATTTATCCTGCCAGCATCTCAGACTCTGGCAATAAATGCCCTTGGAAAAGCCAAGAAAAACCCTGAATTGTTACAAGCCTGGGCTGATAGCCCGGATTTTCTTCTGTGTATTCGTTTATTGAAAGTAAAGGATCTGAAATGGTGATTTCCATGCTGAAATAAAACAGTTCAGTGCTCAATACAGACATCTCATTTTCAAATGAAGTTGCCAGCCCTTGAAGTGATTCCTTGATCTAATTATATGGATTTTCCAGTCTTTGTTAGATATTTCTTTCTTTGGAAGGAAATACCCTCGGTTATTACACAGGTGTAAGCTCTATCCATGGATGGCAGTGTGGGAAAAGCTGTCCTGTTCTGGAATACAGAGGGACTGATGATTCTGGCAGGTGCTCTGGTATGTCCTAAAGCCAGAAAGATTATTCATCCATCTTGACACCAGGGGAAAAAAATTACAGGGCTATCGAAGTGAGCAGGAAATACTTGATGCCAAACTAAAGGGGTGTGAGCACAGCAGAGCATTTCTGAGCACAGCATATCCCTGAGTGTATCCCTGAGGATCTGCATCCGAGGCAGAGGCACCTCTGCTTCCTTGTGGGGCATCTCCATCCAGCTTGTGAAGCTGGGCTGGGCTCACAGGCTGCTGCATCCCTTGGGGCCTCAGGGGACGTGGGCTCAGCTGCCAGCACTGCCTCCCGTGTCCTCTGGGCTTGGCAAAGCAGGCAGTTGTCCCTCTTTGTGGCTGCCTGGGGATGGATGCAGAGGGATCCTGGGTCTGACTGGGACAGTGCAGTTTGTCCCCCCAGGACAGCAGGGTCCTGGGGGAGGGAGGGGGCTGTGAGCACCCGTGATGTGAGAGGGCTGAGCTGGGCAGTGGGAACAGGCTGACAGGTCCCATGTCCAGGAGGAGCCCATAAATAAGAAATGTGCTGCAAGAGCCAAGTGGGGCACAGCCTGCATGGCCCAAGAGGCTACAAAAGGCTGGAAAGCTGGAAGTGGCCAGAGCTGGGCATGGCACCCTGGTGAGCATCCAGGCAGGAATCCGACCTGCACTGCTGCACGCTCGGGCAGAAGGCCCAGTCCTCTGCCTGGTTTTCATTTATTTGAGAGGAGGATTCTGAAATATGGCCAAGAACAGCTGCAATAAAAGCAGTTAAATGATGATTTAAAACAAAAATTCCTAATCCTTCTTTCCCAGTTGAATGACGTGAAGCCTTGAGCTCATCCTGGAAATCTCCTTCCCTTGCATCACTCATCACCCCTCCAGCACTTGGCACTTCTGTTCAGGGCCAAGGTGGGAAAAAGTCTCTGGATGTTGCCCCCGAATGCGGTCGAGAATGGTGATTCTGGCACGTTGCTTTGTGCCTTGAAGAGCAGTTATTTGACCCACCCAGCCTGGGGACAAGCAGCTGTGACAGTGAGGTGAGCTGAAAATGGGGTTACACCGAGCCAGGGGGTCCCAAACTGGCACCACGCTCTGCTGGCCACTCCCAGCCTGGCTCATGGGCACATCCATCCCACAGGCTGCCCCTGGTCAGCTCTGCCCAGCTGCACGTGGAGTGTTCTGGCTCCCTCCTGACTGCTGACCTGGAGCTGCCCCTGGTGGGTTTGGGCTGGGCAGCAGAGGGGCCATGCACTGTGTGGCCATGCAGCACGTGGGGCTGGGCCTGCTGGTGGAGGTGTCTCACCTGCTTCTCTCTAAAGTGATCTAAAGAACACATGTGGGATCCAGCAGTGATGGGTTTGAGGAGATTTTTTTTGTAATCATCAGGGAAGCTTGTAAAATTCTGGTTGGTGGGGATGCTCTGGGGCAATGCTTCAGGCTTGGGGTGTTTGTTTTCATTTCATGTGGGTTGAACGCTTTTCATGAGAACAAAGCCATGTGGTAACACCCAGGGCTGGATACTGAGACCTGCCTGGGCTCTGGCCTGCAAGGGGAGAGGTCTGAGTGCATGTCTCCCTCCTGCCTTGTTTCCAGTAGTTTTTCCATCCTCATTCCCTCAGCAAGAGCAAAGCAAATTTCCAGGACTCTCCTCACCTTGTGCTGCTGTTCCTCTGCCTCAGGAGGAGTCCTGACAGTGTTCAAGGAACAATAATGCCATACCCTAGGCCCATCCTGCAGCTGGACCTGTGTAAAATAGATGTGTTCAGATGAGCTTCATCCCCCCAGACCAGGATGCTGGCACCAAAAAGCCTGCCCTGCCTGAAGCCCTGCAGGGAGGTGATATTTTCCCACTGACTTTCCCTTGGTCCCATCTTCTGAGCCCCTGAGGGCTGGCAGTGTTTGACTTCTGTGTCTGCACCAGCTTAGTTTAGATGTCTTGCTGAACACACAGACATGAGAAGCACTCTGTTTTGGGTAAGGATCACTGGTTTTGCTCTCTACAAGCTGCACTGGGCTGCCATCCTTCCCTTACCCTTCTACAGAAATCTGAAGGGCAAAGGCCAAGGCTTCAAACTCTCAACTGAGTTACCCTGGTTTGGGTCTTGTGGTGGCAAAACTTCATTTTTGCATCTGGGCTCTGGGGTACCCACAGAGAAATGTGTCAGCTCCCAGCACCGGGTTTGTTCTGCCCCCCCCACAAAAACATGCATGAAACAACTTGGCTTTAACCATTTAAGATGTGTTAGAAGCATTTAAAGGGGAGAAATAGCTGTGTGTGTTGGAGCAGGGGAAGAAGCTGTCTTCCATTTCTGTGTTTGGGTGTCATGTAATGTGTTTTATTCCTGCGTGGTTTCTTTTTTTGGTTTTGTTTCTTTGTTTTGGCACACCCCCTAGGCAAAGTCTATAACCTCCTCAAAGTTACTGCTTTAAGTGGCTTTGGTGCCAGACAACTCCTCTTTGCATTTCAGGGTGTTTGTGAAGAGGTCTCACTTGGAGTTACAGGATCACAAAGTGATGCTGAGTGATTGGATCCTCTGCACTAGAAGACAGAGGAGGCTGAAATACAGAGATGCCCCTGGCTACACCGGTTAATGCAAAGCCCTAAAAAATGGAGTAACCAAAACATCTGCTGTGCTGCCTGACCAGAACAAAGCTCATCTCATTCAGCTGCTTAGAAGTTCTGAAGTCTATAAACAAAGCAAGAGCAGGCTGTAGGATTTAATTAGCTGAATGTCTTGAGAGCTCTCCCAGGAGGTGGGGATGAAGCAGAGCCCAAGGAACACAGCACAGAGGGGCAGAGGTTCAGTGCCCAGCTGCACACCAGGTTCTGTCACACACTGGGACAGTGCCACAGTGGCAGCACTGTGCCATCACTGCTGCTCTTACTTGCTGTTGCAGCACCTGGAGGCAAAAGCTCTGTGGGGTCAAATGCTGCAGAAGCAGGTAACAAAAATGCAGGCCCCGCTCCAAAGACAATTTCCAACTTCCCTGTCAGAGCTGCTTTTCAGACTTTTTTTGTTTTTCCAGGCCAGAGCAAACGAATGGATGAAATCCATGCTGTTACAGGACAGGGTGCCCTATTTATCTGCTTGCCCCAGTCCTTAAATACGTGGTTTGCTCAGCTTCCCAGCCGGCTGGGCCCATTTTATTGCAGTCTCTCCTGCTGGCACTGCCAGCCCTGCCCTCACAGTGCCAGTCACAGTCAGGTAACCCCCTGCAAACGGCCACTGCCGTCACCTCCTCTTACTCTCCACCCCACTTTTATGGAGTGTACAAACTTAAATGCAGAGGAACTGCAGAGCTGCTGTGTGAAGGCAGCAGCTGGATGCTGAGATGTCTGTTTTCACATACAGGGGTCCCAGGAAGGAACTTGCAGGGTCTCCAGTGTGGTGCCCTGGCAGAAGGAGGTTGGGATCCTGCTGGCCCTGGGCAGAACTGGCTCCTGCCCGACAGTCCCCAGGACCTCTGGGCAATGCTGCTCCTGTCACCCTGCTGACCCGGGGTAAGTCCTGGCGTACACGTGGCGCAGCAAACAGGGAAAACTCCGGCTCCTCCTGAGCACCACGGCTCCAACACTGCTCAGCTGCCTGCAAGGTAGGAGAAGGTAACACACAATCCCCTTCTGCAGGCTCAGCAGCCTCGAGAGGTATTTCCCTAGGTTCAGACGCAGTCTGGTGTGCTGGTAACCTGATTTTCAGAATTACAGAGAGCTCAGCTCGCAGCTGAGTGCTCTGGGGAGATGGGCCCCTCCTGAGCAGCCAAGAACAGGGTGAGGAACCTGCCCTCTCTCTTCCAAACATTCATTTTTCTTGGCCTCAGGAGGAGAATAAAGCCTTGCAGGCTTGTGAAGGGGTAAGAAACAGTCCCATTGAAACAACCACCTTCCTTTCCCAGCCCTCCCCAGGCCGTAGCATTCGCTGCCTCTTCAGCTCACAGACCCTCTTCTGATCTGATAAATAATTTGCCTGCTGTGCCCCAAGCCCCAGCAATCACAGTGCATTAGCATGGATGTATTATTACACCCAGAACAAATGGGAGAGGGAGCATGGGCTGGTGAACCCCCCTAATCTCAATAGTTTTATCAGAATCTGCCCAAAAGCTATTTAAAAATGTGACTGCCCATTTCACAGGGATTGAATTATTTTCTTTCTATCTTTGTGACACTCGAGAGGCTGGAAATTCCTGTGTTTTGCTCAAACATGGGAAAGATTCGTGTCCTTTTACTGATGAGGAATGGCTTGTAAATGTAATGTGCCACCACTGGAACGTGTTATTGCTTGAGAGGAAACCCAGTCTGAGAGCACTGGAGGCACTGTGCAGAGAAACCCCAAGCTTCTGTAAAAACAACTGAAAAGTTCTTTGGAAAGTACAGTGTAAAGCAGATGTATGGGGCTGGAGGCTGCGTGTTCAGAGCCTCAGCCGACCCTGCCGCGTGTTACCCAGCACGGCTCCGGCTGCTGCACGTACAGCATGGCAAGAGCTACAAGGCAACCAAAAAGAGAGCCGCAGGCTGGAGGCAAAGGGAAGCAGCGAGGGCAGTCTGCAGGGAGGGCAGTCTGCAGCGAGGACAGTCTGCAGCGAGGGCAGTCTGCAGGGAGGGCAGTCTGCAGCGAGGGCAGTCTGCAGCGAGGGCAGTCTGCAGGGAGGGCAGTCTGCAGCGAGGACAGTCTGCAGCTCCCCCCGCTCGCTGCACAGCTGCCCCAGCGCACCCCGATCGCACACACAGATACTCACAGCCCTTCCATAGCGCCGATCCGGCCCCGCGGTGTCCGGGCAGCGCCTGCCAGGGCGGCACATCTGGACAGTCGGTGCGGGACATTCCGCGCCCTCAGCGCAGCCCCGGGAGCTGCGGGAGCTGGGAGCGGAGCTGCGGGAGCTGGGAGCGGAGCTCCGGGAGCTGGGAGCGGAGCTCCGGGAGCTGGGAGCGCTCTCTGTTCGCTCGGGCCGTTCTGGGGCGGCCCCGAATCGCCCCCGCCCGGCCGGGCCGCCTGTGCCGGGGCCGCTCCCGGAGCCGCTCCCGGAGCCTCCCGCGCTCGGTGCCGGCAGCGAGGGAGGAGCAGCGGCCCCGGGAAGGAGCAGCGGCCCCGGGGCAGGAGCTGGGCCCGGTCCAGGCCCGGACACGTGATGGGAGCGGGGCCGGGCCGGGCCGGGGGTGTCGGGGCTGCGGCTCCGGGCGCGTCCCTCAGCCCCGAGAGAAGGTGCGGCGCTTTTTTTTTTTCCCCGTAACTTTTTTTTCCAATAGGAAACGCGCTAATTTTTTTCTTTTCTTGACTTTCTTCTTTTCGTTCTGCAGTTTGGGGTTTTTTGTTTGTTTATTTTTTAATCCCCTTGTGAGTATTTACCTCTGCAAAGAGTCAAACTGAAAAACTGAGGTTGGGTCCAGCTCAGAAATAAAACCCACTTGGGGGTTGGTTGCTGTTTTTCCTAGTAGGGAAATAATGGGAAGGAGTGAGAGCTGAGCAGTACAGAGGCTGAAGACAGATTCGAGGGTCCCTCCCAAAACACTGAAAAAAACCCAAACCCCACCTGTTTTGTTTTTTTTTTATTTATTTAATTTGAAATAGTTCAAAACAAACCATTTTTATTTGGAGCCAAATTTAAATTGCCATCACTACTCATCTGCCAGCTGAGTGCAGCCATAGCACTTCCAATCTCTGTGGCTGTTTCTTTGTCTCTGCAGTATAAACAATGACCCTCATTCCTCTCACAGAGGCCAAGCATCTGGAGACTGCCCAGACCACGGCCTCTTAAAAAAGCAAAGTTTTTTGTGTACAGTGAACTTTTCATAAAGGCAGGTTTTGATTTACTCTGTTGTTTTCACAACAACCGACTGTTTTTTAAACAAAATGTAAAAATCTCTTTTTGTCAGCATCTGTGCTTTTTTGAGGTATTTTTGATTTCAGCTCCAACGTTTTGCTTTGCTGAACACAGTGTCATGGGGAAGGGCGGGTTCCTGGTGAGACACCCTCGGGCCCTGCACTGAGGGGCTGCAGGCTGGGAAAGCCCTTTGGTGGTGATCAGCAGCTGGACCTCAGTGACTCCCTGAGCTGCTCAGCTCATCAGAAACCTCAGTCAGAGATGTTCAGATTCACACTTTCCCTGTGCCAGCCCAAGGTACCTCTATCCTTTTTCTTTGCAGCAGCAGCCCCAGGGTATCTTTCATCCCTCCTCTGTAAGGATGCAGATGATGGTCACAAACAGTAGGTTGGTGTCTGCCTTCGCTGGGAGGGACTGGCTGTGGAGGGAGGAGACAGCTCCCTAAACCATCAGGGACTCACAGCAGGTATTTCCTCCATGATCCCCCACCCAGGTTTTGAGGCCTGCTCCCCTTTTCACTTGCTCCCATGGGGTGAGAGTGAAAACAGAGGCTTTCCTTGATGTGTGGTGCCTTTGTGGCTGCTGTGGCTTGGAGAGTCGTGCAAGCAGCTTGGGAGGTGGAGCAGCTTCTCCATGGGTGCTTCTACGTGCTGGTTGTCTCACCTGGACCTTGTTCCCTGGGCACTGATGCACAACTGGTTTATTCTTCTCACTCCCAGCAGAGGTGCCCCTGGTCTGTCCCGTGCTGTGTCACTGTGTCACCAGGCTGGGTCAGTGGTCTTGCTGACCCTATCAGGTCAGCCCTGTTGACCCCGGGCTGGTGTGTCCTTCCAGCTGCTGTAGGGCAGAGCCCTGCTCCCTGTCACTGTATTCCTGCAGGCATCAAGCCAGGCAGTTGGGAAATACAGCTTTGTGGTGGATAAAGAAGGGCTGATCTTGTGATTTTCAAATGGTGTTTGAGATTTAAGTGATTCAGGGTGAAATACAGCTCTGCTCGAGTTCATGGCAAAAGGAATTTCCCTGGATTCAGCTGTCAGGTCAGCCAGTGGCTTCCTGTGTAAAGCTGCTGGAGATTCCAGGTCCAAGCTCCCCACCTAGGGAGCAGGCAGCCCTGTGGCCAAGCTCAGTACCAGCGAGGCACTTGGCTTTGCAGTGGGGCCGTGGCCTCAGAGGAGCCCCAGGTACCTCAGCAGCACTGAAAGGAGCACAGGGAGCTCTGCCAGGTACCAGGGCTGGGAGAAACCTCCCCTTCTGGGCATGGTTGCTAAGAACAGGCTCATCAGAGCAGTAACTGGAAGCTGAACAAACAGGGTAGCTTGGCTTGGTTTTGACCTGCAGCCAGAGCCATCCCCTTGCAGGTGGGGCACCCTTGGGGTGTCAGGAGGAACATCTGACTTTGGGCAGGACCCTGCTGTGCATCCAGAGCCTCAGGCTGGATGTTCCTCCGAGAGCTGGGGATCGCCAGCGTGGCCAGAACTGCAGTGAACCCCCTTCTTCCTCCTGCCCTGAGTGTTCAATGAAAGTCTCCGAGGCATCTGTCATCAAAAGTATGTATTTATTTATAAAAAAGAATAGAGAAAAAATATACCAGTGTTTTTTTTTCTATAAAAGACAATTCCTTGGAGGTAAAATGTCCTAGACCCAAGGATACATGGCATTGCAGTCCATAGCTGTAGATGGCTGATCCAGATCTGATGCTGAATATCATGGGAATTTGGAATTAGAAGATCTGCAAGTGATTTTCCACTGACAACTAAGAGACTTCGATCACACATCAGGTTTCAGTTAAAGATGTATGGCCAGATCCCTTCAGTGACTAAAATTCAATCCACAGAAGACAATAATATATAATTTTTGACTCTAGGCCTTAAATTGCTTCACTGTCTGAGTCCATCTCCATACAAACGACAAGGGCAGACCTTGTCTGGTGTAAAGCCAAGGATCTCACCAGTGTCCTGCACACACTCCAGTGTGTGGGTTACACTCACAAAACCCTCTTGACTCCTGTTCTAGTTCCTCCTCAGTTCAAGGTGTACAATACCAGGGGTTCATGGCTACACCAGAATTTTCAGTTAAGCTAAATCATCGATGTAAGTGAATTTAAGTGAGGCTCCTCATTGCTGTGCATACTTGCTTTTGGTTTCAAAGTGCAGGGGTGTGACTTGGAGGTGGCTCCCTTTGGAACTGCAGGTGGGAGGTGACACAGTGACCCAGGACAACTTCTCAGTGCCAAACCCAGGTTTGAAATGAATGGGAAATAAAGAGGTATTTTCCTCTGAGACAATTTCATATCAGGGTATCCTGACAGGTTTGCCTCTATCAGATGCCTCATGTCGAAGTATATCTGGTGAGCATTTAACTTTCACTCTCTTCTTTATTATCATCTGTTTGAGCACTGTAGCTCAGCTATGCCAAAACAAATCATTCAAATTCTCCTTTGGATGGATCTTTTATTCCTTCTGGCAGACTGAAAGGAGCCTCCTTCAAATCTGAAACATGGTTAAAACTACAAAAACAATCTGCACCACAAAAAAAAGCCCTCTTGGATCCCTTCCTCTAAGCACATTTTGGGCTGGTTTTTTTCTGTTTTATATTTTATCTATTTCAGGTCTTATATGCAACTGATTAGCACCTTTATTTGCTTTTAATATTGTGTTTGATTCTGAAACACCACCACCCCCCCGAAAATATCTTTATTTCCCCAGTGCCAGGTGTGTCACCAAGTGTCCCCAACATCTCACTCCCTGCACCCCACTCACTGCATTGCTGCCCAAGGTAAGGACATGCCCCCAGTTTCTTCAGCAATCTCTGCTAAGGGTTTTTCCTTTGTGAGTGCTTCTCCCTTCCCTGTGTGATAAGAGTTCCCTTGTGTTTGCACAGTGGTGTAAAACCGCTGGAAAATCTTCTGGGTAAAGCAGAAGTAAACTCAGAGTGGAGCTCCAGCCAAATGCCACACCAGGGCAAATGACATCCTGTCCTCACCATCCAACTGACCATCCAACTTTCATTCTAAGGCCTCTGGGAAAGTTGTTTCTATCTATTTCTGTGCCAGATAATACTAACAAAAGCTACTCTTTCAGCAGGAAGGAGTCCACTTGAGACCAGAACTGAAGTTTTCATTGCACCTGATGCTGATGACTGATCATGGAAAAGCAGGTATGAAACAGCCACTGCTATGGTCCTAAAACATGCAATGCACTTAATTCCACCATGGAATATCCCTGGAAAACCCTTTTCCTGCAAGTCTCTGCAATGAAGGCACCTGTGAATGCTGTTAAAGATGATGATATTCCACAAAGGTTGCCAGAGGCTCCAGCACTTAATGGCACTTTTGAGAGGGAATGTGTGAGTAAGAGGCAATACCCATGCCAGTGCTGGCAGAGAGGGACAGTGCACAGTGCCTGCAGCCAGGGGAAAGCATTCAGGCTTAGTGCTCTGTAAAACAGTAATGGCTGCAAAGAAGTTCTCTGGACTTGAAGGAGATGCTGAATAATACAACTTTCTCATTTTAAGCATTAACAGGTACTACAAAAACTAGTAATTCTCACTACTCAGAGGCTGCCTTATGTGAAAGTTGTGTACATGAATACCTAGTCTGAGAGCTTAGAAAAACTTATTACAAATAAGACAGCAGGCTATGCATATGACCTTGTCTTCTTTAAAAAATTATTTCTGCAAAATCAAGAGCAAACCCTCTTGCTGTTGAAGTAATTTCCCAGTTTCTGATTTTTAAAATTTTTTGAAATACCATTTGTCAGGTGGGTTGCTGCCAAACAGAGTTCCCCAGTTGGGATCTGGCAGGAAAGCTAAATGCTTTGAGGCATGGTTCCACAGCAGCCTAAATTAACTAAGGTCAGCATCACTGCTGGTCCCAAAAGCAAAACTGTCACAGAGGTAATTGCTGCATTTTGGGAAGAGCATTGGTATTAGTGGAAGGGAGAGGGTAGGATGTGGAGCAGGAGTGGAGGAGATGAGACTGCAGTGGCACTGACAAAAGCCACAGTCTTTGCAGAGATGGTGCCTGCATAAAGTCCTGCTTCCTTTGAAGCTAAGGGCAAGACAGAAGCAGATACACCCTGAAAACATCTTCCCCATCCTTAACCCCCACCAGCCCCTTCCTGATTGTGTATGGAACCTTGGGGGTTCAAAATCTGCAGAGAACAAGTGAGGTTTCTCAGGCTTATACTGAGGGACGTGATGCTCATCTCACCTGAGGCATGTGGATCCCACCTGGGTAGAAGCT